AGAACAATATAAAATACAACGCTAATTAAATACGAAGTTTCCTTTCTGGACACATGATTTCTGTTTAATGTTAACAATCTTGTATAAGCTTTTTGTAAAAAAAACATTCACATTTATACATTTCATTTGGAGAATAAAGGCTCAGGAAACATGAGTGCATTAACTTTAGTAATGTAAATTTACCAGGATTTACCATGGATACTGAATTTTCTCATCTCCCCACACAACTGAGATGTTCTTGTGAAAGTCAGATTATAAACTGCAGCCCCTGCACTGTAAACTTGGCTGTTTTAAAAGGTGTGCCCATGTTTGAATGAAAGGGGGAAGAGAGAGAGAGAGAAAAACAGAGAGACAGACGGATAGACAGAGTAAGGGTCATAAGTCAGTGTCCATGTTGTCCTGCAGAAGGAGAAGGAGAATGAGCTGAGTATGAGGTTTCTGTGGACGTAATGGAAAAATCACCCCTCAAGATTAACATGAAACACAGGAAATGCTCTCTCTTGTGCCTAATTTTCTCTCTCTCTCTCTCTCTCTCTCTCTCTCTCTCTCTCCTCCCCTTTCTCTCTGTCTCGATCGCTCTCTTAACTGCTTCTTTAATTTCTTAATAGGTAAAGCCTCTTTTTTTCATATTCGTCCAGGTGTTTTCTGAAGGTTTGCTAAATGGTGAAGAGTGAAAGACACGAAGAGCCGCAAAGCAAACAGTTTACACTTAATTTCATTGCTGTCATCTAAGCTTACAAGCTTTATGAAGTCTGTGATATTTACAAGTACATTACATGACCAGTACAGAAAGAAAGCCCTAACCGGTCACACATTAATGCTTGTCCAGTGTGGCTTAACCCAAATCAACAAATTGTGCTGAACAGTAACAATTAAAAACTCTTCCTTGTAAAGGAAAGACTGCTTGAGCGACGTGACTAGGAGGGGTTGGAGGGGGCAAGCGAGGAGATACAGACCGGGATGGGGGAGTGAGAGAGAGAGAGAGAGAGAGAGAGAGAGAGAGAGAGAGAGAGATTTTGATATGGAGAATTTGTGGAACATCCTGCATGGCAGTAGAACATAAGGGCTGAATACAATGCAGAGCACTGGGTCACGTCTTCAGAATTTTTAGGGATGGTGTGCGTCCGTGCATCCGTCTGTGTGTGTGCCAGTTTGCAGGCGGCTTTTACGGGTCTGTTTCCTTCCAGTCTGTTAATCTTAACATTCCCACTCAAGCTAAGCCCAAACTGTCCTGTGTTTATTCACACACACGTTTCTGCTCCATTCGGCTTCATTCACCTTTAAAAAAAGGGTTCTTTAGTAAAGACTGTGGTTATATATGCAACTGTTCATGCACAAATATTTTTGGCATGGTTCAGTGGTTCTTTTCTATGATGGAAAGTTTCTCCAAGAACCTTTTAAAATGGTTCTGTATACCAACAAAAAGGGTCATTCAACCTTTTATAGTACTATCTAGAACCCTTTGGACAACACTCCTAGCAAAAAGTGTTATTTTAGGTAACAGTGCAGACACTAGGCACTAAAAGAACCCTCAAAGAACACCCTTCTTAAAGGTGTATGTAGAACCTGCAATAAAGGTTCAATATGTTTCTTAGGTACTATTATGGAACCAATCACTTTTAAAAAGGTGCCACCAAGGGTTTTTTAAGCAATGTCCACTTTTGGAAAGAACCATGTTTGAAAAGAGATTTGTGAGTATGAAGAACACTTTAATGGCCTCACATAACATAGAGGTTCCTTACAGATTTAAAGCTTTGCCTAGAACCTTTACAATGTACAGAGGTTGTTTGTACTTTAAAAAAGGTCTGATTTACCGAAATGGTTCTCAAGGAACCGTGCACTGAAAGTTTCTTTAGAGAACCAAAAGAGGACCTTAATTGGCATCACACAATTTCTGGCGCCTTTTTAAGAGGGACTGGTTCTCTCTACTGGACTGAATGAATGAGGCAGATGGATGGAAAGGAACCATGCTGGAGAACAAGCTTCATCCTGAGCATGCAGCTCATCAAGGTGCCTTTTTTTAGTGTATCCAAAATGGAACAGTTGCATAAGGGGCTCTGACACCCGCTCCCGCGCCCCCCTCTCTTTTCAGTAGGTTGAGCTTGTGAAAAACACCTTTGACTGAATGACATCCTGTGATGTTGACATTCTTCTTGCAATCAACCATCAAGCTCCGACCCAACTAGTTTCATCCCTGCTCTCGTCTTCTTTCATCAGAGGCACCTTATCGCCCTGGCCTCCTTCTCTCTCCCTCTCTCGCTCGCTCACTCTCCCTCCCTCATTCCACTCACCCTGCCGCGTTCAACAACACACACACACTTTCAGAGCTACTGAAAGATGACTTGGTGTGTGTGTTTGTGGAGCCTCTATTTTTGTCTAGGACTGTGGTTAGGGCTGTGGTCTAGAGTTGTGGTTAAAATCGTGTTTTACACGTGAAGCTCCTGCTGGTTTCACATCTCTGACAAAGACCGATAAGATGCAAAGCCAGCACTGACCTGATCCCTCATTGCTGTCATACACTGCAGTTAATTAACATTAATAATTCATAAGATAGTCTGTTATATGCAGACTTACAGTCGTATGCAAAAGTTTGAACACTGTAGTCAAATTATACATTTTGTTGATTTTTGAAGTGAAAATAAGTTGATAAATGCTCTACAGGGAACAGTTATATGTGGCATTTTTCTGCAAATGTTAGTGTGCAACTTTTATTGATTTTCATAGTTTAAAGCTGCACTATGTAATTTTTTGTTGTTAAAATTGAAAGACGTAACATTACTGAGTCAGACGGAAAAATACTCGCTTAAATATGGTGTCCATGCACTGCTGTCAGTCTGTAAAGCCTGAAATGATGATTTAAAAATCAGAATTATTATGTGAGTTCTTTGTACCACATGGTTTGTCTTTATATATGCACAGTCAAAAAGAACGTGTCTCAATGTTTAGGTTTTAAATGCAAAATCAGCGTTATGCTGATGAAGATATGATAACATTCTCAGATGTACATTCTCAGAATAGACGTCCTTCAAGTCTCTTTGCGTGATCTTCAGATTCATTTACTTGGGAAAGGAGTCTGAAGCACAGCTCACGGTATAAAATGTTGTTAAACATGTTGCATCCAATTCACCAGAGAGGTCTCCAGATCCCCAAAACGTACATAGAGTAGCTTTAACATATTGTTAAAAATAAACCACAAAATGTACCATAACCTTTGTTCACCTTTGATTTTTTTTCTAATTTTGACCCATTAAAATGTGTAGGAGTGTGTTCTCTGTAGAGGATGTGTAACTTATTTTCACTTAGAAAATCAACAAAACATGTCATCAGGGGTGCCCAGACTTTTGCATGTGACTATATAAATGCATTATATGCAGTCTCGACAGGGCTGTCGCTGTATCTAATCTATCTGAATATATTTCCAATCATTGAAGTAAAAGCCAAACAATAAAAATGCACTTAAAAGAACAGTAACAAACCATAAACAGCCTTTCAAAGACTCCACTATCCTTTAGTAAAAAATATAAATTATGAAGCCTTTAAACAGACTTTATTAAAAAATATCCAAACGCTACGTGGTAAACAGTGTAAATAAATACATGTGTCTGTTGGCCTGTTACTGTGAGAGAGACGAGCAGATTGTCATTGAAGATTCTTCAAGAAGGTACATTTTAATCAGTTAATGGAGTTTATTCAGGTAATTGTGACGGCCCAGATAATTGTCTGTTCAATTACAGATAGGATCTACACAATCAGTCAAAAGTTTGGAGACACATATTCTTCGTAGAGATAGGGTCCACATTTTAGAATAATGGTGAAGACATCAAGCTATATAATAACACTAATTTAATTATGTAGTGATGTGGTGATGATTTAAGTAATAAGTGTTTTAAAAATCGCAGTATGTTCTGTTTTAGATTCTTTTAGAAATTAGCTCCCTTTTGCCTTGCTGCAGCTTTACACACCGCTGATCATTCTCTCAAGCAGCTTCATGAGACGATTTCCCACCACTGAAGAAGGCCTTTCAAAACCTAAAATGTGGCCTGTGAAAAAAAAATACACATATTGTATGTTTTATTTTTTAAAGTATGCTAAACCCAGGAAAATAAACAGAAACTGCGCACTAAACTTAAATACCATACTTAAGGGTGTAGAGGGTGTGTTGACTTACTTTCACATAAATGTAATTTGACCAGTGCTATTCAAACTTTTGCATATGACTGTATATTTGTCTTTTGAACATCTTTGAACAAAATGTCTTTATCATTATGAAAAATGCTTGTTGAGTTAGGTGTGTCTAGTGTAGAATTTCTTTACAGTGTTGTCTGTTTAATATGTATCATGGTAAAAACAAGTCTTCATGTCTCCATCTCTAATGTTTGTTTTTTGACCTTCAGCTGTCCTTTGTGAAAATTTCAGAATGAACAAACTAATAGAAACGCACCCAGATGACTTAGAATAAACTCTTCTTACATTACCTTACATTGAAAGTTGACAATGTTTTTGCCTTCTCCTGTAAAGGGGATAAAATGGAGATGTTTTTCTTTGATGATATGCAGACCTTGTATGTGCACTTCTCCTGAAAAAATGTTGCAAAACTCAAGAGAATAAAAGCTGTTTGTTGGTGAAGGACAGATACATGCTATTTATTGATATTACTCAGTTCATCAGTGAAAAAAGTGCCACATCACTGATGCCGGTGTGGGTTTATTCCTGCCACAGAGTGTACTAGAGCTGTAGTGTTGAATGAATCTACACCACTGACGCCATTAGACAGTAACTCCTAGCCCACACTGGTGCTCCTCGACCTCTGAGGCAGAGTCTGACCCAGCCTTCTTCCTGCTGCGTACAGTTTGCACTAGGCTCTGTTCTTTAAGGACGTAAAGCACAGGAACTGCTTGGTCTAAAAGTACTCAGCTATTTGCAGTGTTCTTGGGTCAGCGTGAGCTTATATGTCACTGATGGCTGCCTCATGTTCTCTCTGTCTTTCTTTGTGTGTGCAGAGACCTCAAACTGGACAACATCCTGTTAGACGCTGAAGGCCACTGTAAGCTGGCTGACTTTGGCATGTGCAAAGAGGGCATTCTGGACGGCATCACTACCACCACTTTCTGTGGCACTCCTGACTACATCGCGCCTGAGGTACAACATTTTGGGGCGTCTTGCTTCACAATGAGAGTACATGAGAATTTGTGTATGCCATTGTTAGTGATGTGGCCTGTTTAAAGTATTTGCCAAGGGTGGACAATAGGGTATAAATATAATAGAAAAAAATCACAATACTTGAAGACACTTTCACAATACAGCATCTGCATCAGAATATTTTCTTTTTATGAGATTTGCAAACAAGTTGCACCAGCAGAACTGTTCAAAGGGTTATGAAAAATGGCACACTGAGCTGACATCCGGTCAGCTGGTTAAGTACTGCTGATATCTGCAAAATACTCAGCAAAGTGCATCGTTGCGCAATATATCACAGAAACAATAACATATCCTCATATTGCCTAAGCCTAGTATTGTCTAAAAGCACAGTAACAAATCTTATTGTAACAACTCAAATGATGTTTTTATGTCCAAAACATTCATATAAATAATGTCTTACACAATGTCGTGAACCAGTGTAAGGCTGTACAGTTAGTAGCATCATTATTAACCCTCCTGTTATGTTCAGCTGTAAGGAACAACAATGTACCTGGGTCAGATTGACCCGCTGCATGTTTTGATGCTATTTTTGGATATGAACATCTCTCTTTGGAATTGATGGCTGTGGGACAATACCCTCATCATCTTACAATTCATCATCATAATCAGAATTGATCTCAAGATCAAAACTGCCTTCAGACAGTTCCTCCTTTACTTCACTATCCTGATCAAGGTTGTGTTCCAGAGCCTCCTGACCTGCCATTTTTCTGCTCATATTGCTCATCTTTTCAACCTCTGAGAGAGTACAGGTGCGTAATGTTGGTAGGACTATAGGACTATTTAGGACATTAAGGTCCAATCCCATTTCCTATTTTCATCCCTATCCCCTGTTTTTGAGTGTCACCTTGCCCCTTGAAACATAGTTACAAAGGGTAGTGGTGGAAATCTTCCCCTATGAAATGGGACCCTCAAATAAAAAAGAACATTACTTCATTTACAGGCTACCAGTGGTGCTCTGTAGGTGACCCTGCCAGTCTGCAGTGATAGCAGAGGAGGATAAAGTTCAGCTCCTCACTGGGTTCATCTTCTTATAGAAATAGGTCATTTTAATTTTTTTTCTCATAACACTCTGTTTGAAGTGTGCCTCCATGTAGCCCTAACACTTCGCCCTACCCCTCTATCTCAACAAAAATCGGGACACCCTACCCCTAGAGGTAAACGTACAAAACAGAGGGCTAAGGGCGAAGTGGTAGGGGTAAGGGGTGAATTGGGATTGGGCCAATTTGTGTAACATAAACATGCAGGAGGGGTTTAAGTAGTCTTTTTCCATTTACGTGTACACTGATTAAGCCAGGCGGAAAAGGTTTTGTGTTCCAAAAATGATGAAAAATATTTTTCCCATGTTTTTAAACTCTGAAATGGGTCAATTTGAATCGCAACACAACAGGAAGGTTAGTATCTCCATTTGGGACAGTGGTACGTTTAATTCACACCTTTCAGTAGTGTCACTGTAGAATAAATATCAAGCCATCTACCAGTAGTCATAAACAGCACTTCTAGGCATATAAGCTTCCACTGAATCGCAGAAACATGTGTTGAAGGAATGGATCAACCTCAGATTTTCCCAGTGAGTCTTCCCTGAGCATTCTGATGAGTCATGGTTCACAAGGTCTGCCAGATCACAGGCTGTCTCTCTGGAACATGCACTAAAAACATGCAATTTGGGGTAATCACAGCTGGTCCATCATAAACAGAATATCACTCAAAATAATCACCATTATCATTTTTGTCATGATCTTGCAGCCTAAATCAAATCCAGTGCTTAGAATAGGTACAGAAATCGGCTAAACAGCTCTTCAGGTTTCATACCATGTTTGATTTCTCTCTCACGCATGTTTGATTTCTATCTCATGCACACTGTGCTAAACATATGAACTCCTATACTGGACACAGCGTATTGTGCATGACTGGAACAGTATATTATGACAACACAGGAAGTTTGACATAGTGTGTACAATGTTAAATCAAACTGTACTGTAAAACATGACGTCAGCACCACTTAAAATTAGAAAGTGACTCATTATGCAGTGTTCTTGAGTTGGAGGCCACTAGAATTCCCAATTCAAGCTTTCCTACTTAGACAAAAGCTCTTCTGACATTTTTGTTCTGCGTCTCAGCTCAATAAGCTATACAAGATTTGTTTTTTCCTCAGTTTCCCCGTAAGATAGATTTCCTTCACACAGTCCCTCCAGGTTTTTTCTCCTCTTGGGCTCCCAGTTACGGATAGCTGGGGCATCGCAGTGGTTCAAACTCATGAACACTTAGATGGTTGCAGCAATCAGTAGTTGGAGTTACTCATACTTCTGTTTCCATACGTTTAGTCACTTTACTGGCTCACTGAAACATTATTGTGTAGCCATGACTGCTGTGATGGTAAGAAATCCTTTTGTGTTTGACTGCTTCCTGTGTCGTGATCAAGTTTGAACACTTCCAGTTAAATTACAAATGTTTGTTGATTTGCTAAGTGACGGTAAGTTAACACATCCTCTACTGGGAACTTAAATAAGTTTCCGTAAATGTTACTGCACGATTTTTTATTTACTTGCTGACTTTAACAAACTGAAAGAAAAATAAAACACACATTGTAAAATGTGCCGTAACTTTTGCACAGGCCACATTTTCTGTTTTAAATACACGGTAACTGTGCATTAAAATGTGCAGGAGTGTGTTCTCTGTAGAGGATATGTAAACTTATTATCACTTTGAAAATCAAAAATAGCATCATTTGACTGGGGTGCCCAAACATTTGCATATGACTGTATATTGTTATTGTCATATCATTAAATTTACTGTTGATATCTGAGAGAAACGGTGTGCAAGTAGGAATTTAATGTTGTTGTTGTTGTAATAAGGAAATCTTATTTTTTTTCCACCGCTCTAAGAATTATTCAACAACAAAAACAACAACTAATATGTAAGTTATGTGTTTATGAAATTGACTAGATGAGATGTTGACCAATATACAGTGCCAAAGTCTTTAGAGGGTTAATAGATGTTCTTTCTCTTATGAAGTTACCATATCAGTTAAACTCTGTGCACACGACAATAAAGTGACTGTGATTCTGGCCCACACAGATCTTTGCAGGAGCTGGAGTACGGCCCGTCGGTGGATTGGTGGGCTCTGGGTGTGTTAATGTACGAGATGATGGCGGGCCAACCACCATTTGAGGCTGATAATGAGGACGATCTGTTTGAGTCTATCCTCCATGATGATGTGCTTTATCCAGTGTGGCTCAGCAAAGAGGCCGTCAGCATCCTCAAAGCGGTGAGCTGCTGATTAGCCTGTCCTGTTGTTTACACTCCTAGCTTTCATCTTTCATCTCTCCTCTACCTCTTTTACCCTTTGATCACTACCCCTCTATGCCTTAAAGGAATAGTTACCCCAAATGAGGTTGATCAGCCAAGACATGTTTGGCTTTTTCAGTCTGTAAGGATAATGTAGCTAAGAAGTGAAATCTTTGTTGATGGTGACTGTTATATTAACCTCAAAACTAAGGAAGCAAACTTAAGACATCAAACATGTATTGGTTGGTTGATTATTTGGGGTGAACTGTGTGCTTTTGATTTCTCTGTGAACCATTACTTTAACCCACATAGGGGTTGAGTTATTACTTCTACTTTGCTATATTATTCAAATGTAACTACATAATTACAAATTCCATTACATACAGTAAAGTACGAGGACCTATGTGGTCCACAATTCCATTCCTTACCCTGCAAAAGTGACAGACCACCCTTTTGTTTAGGGTCAGGAAAAGACAGAGAACATAAGAAGCCTCAGAAACAAACACAATGGCATTTTATTCAGTTCTTAGTGTGTCCACTCTTCACCTTTATTACAGCTTCCATTCATTTCAGTAGACTTGCTTTCAGTTTCCCACAGTAATCTTCAGGGATGTTTTTCACACCTCCAAAGTTCAGCCTTAGAAGTCGGTTGCATTTTGTACTTCTCACAATGCCAAAAACATTTAGTGATGTCGAGGTCTGGACTCTGGGATCGTGAGTCCAGACCTCCTGAGAGTCCGTGAGACCTGAGAACACCAGCAGCTTCTTTGTTTGATTTTTTTCTTTATTGTTTATTTCCTTTTTTCATCTGACAGCTACACATTCTTTCAGACTCATAGTGTTGAGTCGTCTTCTCACAGTGGAAGGATGGACAGAAGCACCTGTGGATGTTTTCAGATCTGAAGCAGCTTGATTTTCTCCTCTACCTCAAAGATGAAAGCTTTAAGTGCTGTTTATCTGATAGGGACAGTTCTGGTGGTCTACCAGGTCTTGCACGGTTGTTAGGAGTTCCATTTTTTTCTGTATCTTTCGGAATTCCAGTTTTGAAAACTTCTGTTTTTTCACTTTTTTTCTACTTTCTCTTTCCTTATACAAGGGATTGTTATATATAATCTGTTCTCCAGAAAAATGAATAACTTGTGCTCAGTGGCCGTTTTGACTGGAAAATGCATAAAGGTGGATAAATAAAGGTGGTTTCTGACTTTTGCACAGTACTAAATTCTGTTACACTGCGGGTTGGGATGTAACGGAATATAAGTATTGGGAACAGAATACAGAAATGAAGTATCTGTATTCAGTCCAAGTCCTTTACATTGTGTAAAGGCAGTATTCAGAATAGTTACTTACATTTTAGAATGATACTTACTTTGTTTGTTTATTAACTGTTTTACTATCAGCACACTAAAGCCTGAGTAGACGGATAAAATAGTGCAATGAGCCAATTATTAATCTGAGCATTACTGAGAACCTCTAAGGGATGATAAAACTAACATATTTGTGAGTGATGTGTTTGTAGTGTTTGTGAGCATCATTTTGTACTGCTTTGGGGGTTTGGGAGCAGCGGTAGACTGAAGCAGGTGGTGAGAGAGAAAAAAAATATTGAGAACCTTTTAGCTTCATTTAAATGACAAGTTAATTTTTGGTGAAACACATTAACAGAAGAATTACATGAAGAAAACTGCAGTAAAACCAGTACCAGCGGGTAACTGAATTAAGAAAAAAAAAGTTTTTTTCCCAGTGTGAATTATCAGTGTGTACTGAATATATTCTAAATGTGTTCTGAATGCTGAATACTGAAGACATTTAGGACAGTGTATTCAGTTTTCAGCCATTCAGCCAGTATTTTGCCCAAATCTGGTTAACAGTAAGTCACGTTTACCTTTGTTTACAGTCTGTATCGACAAGAATCTGTAAAAAGAAATGATAAGCAAGGCAGAAATGTAAAAGATGTTTTTTTTATTTCCACAAAACAACACACAACAATAACTTTCATCAAATCCAAATCAAAGCAAAATACAGTCAGGTGCAAAAGTTTGGGCGCCCCTGGTCAATTGACATTTTCTAAGTGAAAATAAATTACAAATTTGCACACTTCGGAAGATTTTAATGCACAGTTACTGTTTAGTTGCTGAATTTAACACATTGGGTAAATAATAAAGCATATAATGTGCCCTGTGCAAACACTGTTGCACATTTTATAACTCAAATAAACAGAATGTGTACACTAAAATTTGCATTAAAATGTCGTATCATATGTTAACTTATTTTCACTTAGAATATCAACAAAACGCGATTTGTCCAGGGGGGTTCATAGTGCTGCATATAACAACAAAGATACAAATGTCTCTTACTGTCTCTTTTTGTTTCAATGTTCTACGACTGATAAATAATTAATATAAAATGACACTGTGCTTTTGTCATTGTTGGTGATAACTTTGACTTAAATCACATCATATCCTCTCTCTCTTCTTCTGTCTCTGCTTGCATCTGTGCCTTTTTCTCTGTCTCTGCCTAACTTACTCACTCCCTGTGCTGATTAGTTAAGTGGGGAGTCTGGCTAGAGTTCAGAATGTCGTAGTGAAAGCGAGAGAGGGAGAGAGAGTGGGAGAGGGGCTGGGTGAAGTGACACTTCTTGTGGGAAAAGAACAGTGTGTGTTCCCTCCTGAGGTTTGACTTGTGTAATCTTGAAGAGCTGATTTCGGGGAAGACGGTCCAGCGTTGTGTCTCATCTTTACAGCCGTGACCAGTGTGCATGTGTGTGTGTGCCTGCTTGTGTTTGTGTTTTAATAAAGAGTTTAGTTCATGTGTGACCTTCATCCCTAAAGCCATAGCTCATATTAGTGTTTGTTTGTGTTTGTCAGTATATGTGTGTGTATGTGTTTGCTTGTGTTTGCATGCTTTGTGCGCAGTCCATCGATGAGTGTGTGTGTGTGTGTGTATTGCTTTTTTCCATCACATGTCCCAGATTTACTTTGGCCCATTTGTGGGAACGGCGGTGTGTTTGTCTTGGACTGAACCATGTCACACTGCGATCTGTCTCACTGGCACTTTGGTCACATGACCTATGGTCACCCTGGGTCATCCTTCCGCCGGACCCAATGTTACATCACCCGCTGACGGTGGATAGCAACACTGAATACCTCGCACATCCTCTGACCCAGCCATTAGCTTCTATATATTTAACACAGATGTATTAGTAATCAAAGTGACTTATAGTAGTCAGATTACTACCAACCATCGAGCTACAGTACTGTTTAAAGACCATCCTTCATCTATTTCAGTTTCAGTCAAGACCACACTCACACACTCACACTCACTCCTTCTATAACCTAAGAAAAGCTCAGTTAGTTTGCACTGAAGTCTCTGTAGTTGAAGAATAATAAGCCTTTGTATGTAATAAGCCTGGAATGTTAAGGGGTTAAAAATATATAGAGAGAGAAAACTGGGCTCCTAACAACCATCAGATAAACAGCACTTAAAGTCTTCATCTGGGAGAGAGAGGGAAAAAAAATAGGCTCCACTGTTGCTTCAGATCTGAAAATATCTGAAGATCTCTCTGTCCATCCTTCCACTGTGAGAAGACCACTCAGCGCTATGGGTCTGAAAGGATGTGTAGCTGCCAAGAAGCTGTTACTGAGAAAAGGAAACAGAACAACAACACTGGATCTGAGATGTGAAGTAAGGTTTGACTGACGAGTCTAAATTTGTAATTGGCCTTGCTTTGATTGTGCGACCATCTTCTGAGACTGAACTTTGGAGGTGTGGAAAAATATCTCACAATTTTTCTTTGAAAAACTGAAAGCAAGTCTCCTGAAAAGAACTGAATAAAGGCAAAAGATAGATCCACTAAATACTGAAGTTTTGGTATTTTTTTAGTTTGTTGATGCTTCTGTGTAACACTGTTAAACTGTTTTCTGCTGAAAACATGAAAAAACATGTACTAAATGGCTGTTTTCACTGAAAGTGCAGTAAAAAGTGTGGTCTCTTTTTTTGCACAGTACTGTATGTGAAGCAGATGGGGGCTGCAGTGCCTCTTTGCCGTCACTCACTCCTTCTCTAACCTTTTCTCTTTCTCCCTCTTCTCGTCTAGTTCATGACGAAGAGTCCCAATAAGCGGCTCGGCTGTGTGGTGTCCCAGGGCCTGGAGGAAGCCATTAAGGTGCATCCATTCTTTAAAGAGATCGATTGGGTGCTGCTGGAGCAGAAGAAAATCAAGCCACCTTTCAAACCTCGCATTGTGAGTACTCAGGGGTTGTGTTGCTCTGTGTGTGTCTGTGCATGTCTATATGAATGTGGCTGCCTGTGACCTTCCATAACTCCATAACTGCGCGTATACTGTGTATGTGTTAGGGGCACCTGAACAAGAATTCTGCCCCCAGCTTGGAGCAATCTGTAGATAATACAGGTGCTCCAAGCAAATTTAGGTAAGACGTGACAGGGTGCCAGTTACTTTACAATGGTAGAGGTGACCGGGGAGGGTTGTAACACCTTCTGTCCCAGCTTCTGTAACTGTTTGTTTGTGCTATACTTTTCTAACTGTGAGATGGGACACTCCTATTTGTCAGTTATATATAACAGAAATTTGCTGTTTACTAACAGTTATATAAAACAGATGAAGCATGAAAGGATTCAGAGCAAGAAACAAACAGGAGAAAAGTCTAATTTCCGTTTCAGTTTATTTTACTTGACTGTGTTCATGTAAGAAATGTGAGTGAGGCTTTTGTTCTTTGGTCAGTCTTCCTAGGTTACATTATGTGTTACAAGCCACCTGATCCTGGTCAGTCATGACAAATTTAGGCACCCCTGGTCAAATAACTTGTTTTGTTGAATTTCTAAGTGAAAAAAGTTACACAGCCTCTACAGAGAACATATTTTAATGCACAATTACTGTTTATTTTCTGAATTTAACATATTGGAAAAAATATTTTAAAAAAAAGGCCTGTGCAAAGGTTACGTGTTACGAATCAGGCTAGGTCGGATACACGCAGGTGAAAAGAGATGAACTTTTAATGAAAACAGGAAAATTCACACTGTTAATACGGGGCTACCCAGAGGATAGACATATTCTGAATGAGATCTCCTCTTGATCTCAGGTATTTCTCCAGTCCAGTTTGAAATCAGAGTGAGACTTTAGCCATTTTCTCCTGTTTCTGAAATTTGGCTCCTGAGAAATAAAACTCAGTTTCTCACTTTGATCAAAATGTTACCACACATGTGACTTAACTCTTTAGTGTTTGACTCGTCTCAGCTGAATAATATCTCCATAAGAAAAGTGAGATCTCATCATCTGTTAGTGCAAAAGGAAAACTCACGCTTTTCTCCTTCGTCACCAGAACTTCTCATAGTGAAATGCTGAAGTTAATCTCCTCTTTTCTCCTAAGGGGGTTTAGGAGAAACTATTCCAAAATCAATGATCCTTCATTAAAATAATACTGAGATCTGCTGTATTTCTCTGAGACAATCTTGAGAAAGATTTTTTTTCCGATGGGTAGATCAATACCAAAAAACAGCCATTTGAAAGTATGAGGCTAAGAGTAAAAACCAGAAACAGTCCAATATCAAACAAGGGAAAAAACAGTAAGCCAAAAGCGACGGAAAAGGGCAGAGCAAAAATCGAGGTCTAAAAATACAGGCAAAGGTCATAAACATGGAAAAGACAGACCTGAAAAAGAACACTGAGCATGCACAGGAATGAGATCACTGGAGCAATACTTCACAAAGCATGAGAGGTGAAGGAACAGTATTTAAAGAATGCATTGATGACAAACAGCTGCTGCCTGTCAATACTCAGGTGAGCTTGATCTCAGGAATGGCTCACGATTGGCTGATGGCTCTGATGTGTTCGTCACATGATTAGCTGTTGCATCCTGGGAATTGGAGTTTGGTGGGAAATCATCCTCTGAACCAATCGAGCCAGAAGGTAGCGTGACATTATGGCACATTTTATATTTTATGTTTTATTTTTTCCCCCCAATAAGTGTAACTCATGTGAATAGAAATGGTGCATACAAATGTGCAAAAAAATGCATTTAATTAAACTTTATTTCCTGTAGAGGATGTGTTAACATATTTTACATATTTCACACAATTCAGGAGGGTGATGGGTGTGCACAGTAATGATATCCCCCCTGCAGCTTATTTCTGATTTGTGAAACTGAGGGTGTTAAAACTTAAATATCCAATTTCTTCCCTACAGTAAAATCACTTAATTTTACTATATAAATACTGATGCGAGCTGTAAACAGATACATTTTGTAGTTTTGGACTTTCATATTTCAAGTTGTTTGAAATTGACCTACATTATTTAGCTAACTAATCAAACTAAGCAAAATCGGAGCTTATCCACAGTCAAAAACACTGGCATTGCAAATACTGCAAGTGCTGTTTGTGTTGTTTTTCAATTTTAGAATAATTCCACAGTGAAAATGTGCCTCACTGCCTCAAGCTGTGGTTATCTGTCCATTTTTGGCACCACTACAACAGCGGCGCAAATAGAGCACAGGGGGGTAAATTAGCCTTAACAAAGAATCAGAACTGAATCGGGCTTGGCTGATGTTGATCCGTTAAAATGCGTCTTGATTGGCTCTGATTTTGATCTTTTAATCCTGAGTATGTGTGCTTGCCCAACGTGTGTGTTCCCACTCTGTTGACAGTCTCGGCACAGATGCGAGCTCTGGCGGCTAAAACTCGGTCATCGGGGAGTTTGCAGTAGCCATGCTTTCAGGCCAAATGCTTCTTATGTGTTAGTGTAGCCCTCAGGCTCTTGGCAGCAGGGCCGATGAAATAGCTGAGACGCTGTCCACTTTTCAGCACAGCGGCGCTCGCAGCACAACACGGGCACCCAGACTAGCTGCTAGGAATGCTTGTAGCAGTGTGTGAAGGGGTTCTTGTCCCGCAGTTCAACTCTCACACCAGATCGAATGGCCTTAGGATGGCCTCTGAAGCAATGAGCGAGGGGAAGAAGGTTAGACGAAAGAAAGAAAGAGAGGAGCTAGAAATAAGCTTACAGCAGTGCTTCCCGGTGCTGGAGCACCCTGTCTTGGATACGTTTTTTCCTGCTCGGCTTGTTAATCCCTTAAAATCTAAGGCTAATCACGTCCTGGGCTTATTATTCAGTAACAAAAAGGACTGCAGTGCAGACTAGAGTTATTAAGTTCTAGAAGTGTGCAGTCCTGACCATTTAAAAGGTTAATTAGCTAATTAGTTGGTTGATTAGTTGGAGGATTAGAGCAGGGAAAGCACAATACACAGAGCAGGAATACTTCAGGACCAAGGCAGGGAACTTTTGGCATGTACTATACAGAATGTATGAAGGGGGTCAAGAATTTTTTTCATTTCCTTCTGATTATGCAATAGAGTGGGCAGTACCTAAAGATGGACAGTAGAACAGTCTGTTACTGATATTGTGATAAATGACTTTATTGTATGCTTTTCTAAATATATAATCATCTTTTAGTTCTGAACAACTGCACATGTCATAAGAGACAGATTAAAAAGAGGCTGTAAACAATAGCAGCCTGTATAGTATCTGCATAAACTATAGAGTAGCAAGAACCAATTGGCTGTCATCTTATTTTGCCATTATCTTATTGTGTTAATGTAATTTCTGTGGTTTTTTTGACCACTTTTACAAACAAATGCTGTGTAGTCAGTTTCCATAGACTCTTTAAATGCAGCATTTCTGGTTTGCAGATGTATTCTGACTGGTTAGTTGTTTGTAAACCTCAGAAAAACTACACATTGTGGCACAGTGTTGTGCAAAAGTCAGAGACCACCCTTTTTTTATTTAATGTGCACTCAAGACTTCAAAAGGATTAAAAGATATAGAGAAAATGAGACTCATAAGAACCATGCAAGTCATGGTAGACCACCAAAACTGTCACCATCAGATAAACAGAACTTAGAGCTTTTATCTTTGAGAGAGAGGAGAAAATCAAGCTCCACTCTTGATTCCTATCTGAAAAAAATCCACAGGTGTTTCTGTCCATCCTTCCACTGTGAGAAGACAACTCAGCGCTATGAATCTGAAAGGATGTGTAGCTGTCAAAAAGCAATTACTGAGAAAAAGAAATTTGCAAACAAAGAAGCTGTTGGTGTTCTCAGAATAATGGGCTGTCCACCCCAGGGTCCAGACCTCAATATGACTGAATATGTTTGGGATTACTTGAATTGTTAGAAGCAGAAAATGCAAACAACTTCTAAGACTGAACTTTGGTGGTGTGGAAAAATATTTATTTAGATATTAGCTGTAAAAAAAAGGAGAAAGACACACTAAATACTGAAAACAGTATTAGATTTAAATGTTTTCTGCTTTTCCTGTTGTTGAAAAATGAATAACTGGTACTGACTTTGATTGAAAATTGAATAAATGGAGGGTCTCTGTGTTTTGCACAGTAATTTACATACTGTATTAAAACGTTTTCAAGTATCGTGGTATAATATTTTTGCCCACTTTTAATACCACCTGTTCAAGGAGAGTGAAGGCTGACACATGCCTCCCCTCAAAGCACATAAAGCCAATTATCACATCTGTTCTAAAAACTGACCTCACAGCTGACCAGCTCAGCGCTGACCTAGCAGTTACCCAGATTGGCTTGCACCTTGCTGTTTCTGAGGAAAGAAAGGAACTGAGAAACTTTGCCAGCCTTCCTAACTAATGCAAGCACAGTCAATTGCTCTTTTGTGGGCCCTTGATCACACATGGAAAACGGCATTACTGAGATGTGAACTTTAGTGAACCTTTATTTTAGCCAGAAGGCCAAAAAAACATTCTTAATTCTTAAGGAAAAAAATATATTATTGAATATTCACCATTTTACATAATAACCAGGTGGTGGTTTCTGTCTTATTTTTGAACTCAAGCCCATTACAATCAGCCTGTTTCTGTAGCCTAACTAAAAAAAAGGCTTTATGAAAGCTTTTCCTCCATGACCATTAGAGTCCATTAGTGATTTCAGTTCATCTTCACCTCTAATTGTGTGCATGCTGACATCTGTAAAGCAGCGGGGCTCTCTTCACGTATATGCAGCCACACGGTGCATATCGCATCACTTAATGTGACCACGCTAAGCAAAACATGTGATGCCCTTAATAACATTATTTTGTACATCTCAGGAAAAAATGAAGCCATGTATACTTTTTGTTTACCTTGCCTGAATGTATTAATACTGGGAGGCACCCTGGCGACAATGACACCCAACTGAATCCTCAGGGTATTCTGGATAAAAGTTACTCAGCAAAAGCCTGAGAATTTTTAATGCTCTTTTAATGCTGTTTGAAACTAGTCAAAAGTAGTTATCTTCGAGTGAAACTGTTTTTTGGTGAAAATCTGAGTGCTTTAGACTAGTGGTTCATAATGCTGGTCCTGGAGGCCCCCTTTTCCGTGAGCGTTTCGGTCAGTAGCTTTGACGACAGAACAACTGATCAAATTATAATTGCCCAGAAATGAATAGAATACATTTCAGCAAACAGTATGAGATGTAACATGCTGTACAGACTGACTAAAACAATATCACATTCAGGTTAATATGGCAAAATTAAAAAAGCTGAGCTGAACCTGATATTGAGACAGTTTTATAGTTCTAAACATAATTTAAAAGGCTACTACGTTTTTAGCGGAAGGAATTTCAAATATTAAAGCACTTTTGATACAATATTCAGGGCTTTTTTCTTTGACTCTTTTATTTATTTTGCAGAACTGTTGTATTAAAGCAATAGAACACTCAAGGTCATGTGTTATTGAGAATAACACTTGCCTTCGGCTCATGTCTGCAACCAAATCACAGCTGTGTTATTTGTATCTGTTATTTGTGATAACATACTCCCTCCTGTGTTCCATTGCTTAATTAATCATTATTGCATTATGATCATTTGCAGTACTGTTATTTATATTGCAGGAGACTGCAGTATGCAAAAAGGCCTCATACCAATCGCTTACCAAATCACTTGTTTTATTGTATGTTGTGAGCATCCTAACCAATCACAGATGGTTTTTTAGATGTTTGGATGAATCAAGGCATTCCTACGATCCAACAATTGTAAATAATCTTGGTCAGAATAATGCAGACCAGTCTTTAAATATGTCATCTCAGGTATTGGCCAATGGAGTCAAAGAAGGGATTCCATAGAAGACTCACTTTTGGTTCCCTAAAGAATGGGGGGAGGTTCTTTAAATAGCATTTTTTGAACATTTTTAAAGTTTAAATAGCCTAATATCATTGAGTGTGTTTACATGCACTTAATAATCTGATAACTGCAGAAAATCAGATCTTGTCAGTAATCCAATCAGCGCATTTACATGCACATGCACCGATTACTGCTTGAATCATGCAGGTATACATGATTCAGGCAGAAGTTGGGTTGCTGCTTTGCAACCAGCCAATAAACTCACAGAAGATGACGTGACGTAGACGTGATGTAAAACTCTTTTTAAAGACGATGCATCACTTTACCTCAAAATCTGAACATACATCATCTAGAAGATGAAAAATATTTAAATCCTTCATTTCGTCAAGCATGTATTTGGTTTCAGCGTCACTCCAAAAGTGTTTTGCTGCGTCTCACAGCAACACTGCTTGCTTATTTCCAGTACCACCATATGTTTTCATACATGCACAAACTGAGAAATCCGAAAGAAATCTGAGGAAGAGTTTACATCCACTGAGAAATCTGATAACTGAGCTAAAATCCAGCTCTCTTGATCAGATTTCTTAATTGGATTTCTAGACCTTACTACGATCTAAGAAATCGGAGTGTGCGGTTTACATGACCATTTAAATAATCAGATAACTGCAGAAATCCAATTATGATTACATTATTGAGTGCATGTAAACACACTCAATGACTGGTTTGTCCTAGAACCGTATGTCCAAGCTAGGAACCACTTAGGTACCTTTATTTTTAAGAGCATATGTAAAAATGTAGTTGTGGTAGCATTTTATAATAACCATAGTTGCTTAGTAACTAACTTGTGTTTTCAGAGTTATGAATCACTAATTAATATATTTAGGACATCTTTAAATTTTAAATGGCCTCCATGATATGTAGAAAGTTGTATAGTTTGTCCATAACGAGAGTGAATTCAGCTTCTGTCTTCTTGCTCTTTGCACACAGAAAACCAAGCGGGACGTCAATAACTTTGACCAGGACTTCACCCGCGAGGAGCCCGTGCTAACTCCTGTGGACGAGGCCATCATCAAGCAGATCAACCAGGACGAGTTTAAAGGCTTCTCCTACTTCGGTGAAGAAACTCTGTCCTAGAACTTCCATCTCCTGCGCTCCACTCCCACTGCTACACACCTGTGGCCCTTCACCTTTAAAAGAGACTGAGCGTTTACAGTGAGGGTCTGAATATCTAATTAAAGACTGTCCGTGCAGTCTGTTTATTTTCATTCACTGATTCTAAGCTTTTTTGTTTTAAAGAACAGAGTGGAAAGTCTTTCAGCTCAACATTCTCATACACACACACACGCACACATAAATAAACACACAGTGATGGAAATATATATCCAAACAGGAACCTTGTTAAGAGAGAAGATCTGTTTGAAAAGAGGTCAAAGTGCTTATCCAAGAATCTTGAATAATAATGAGAATAATATCCTTCTTTGTTATTGTTACTCAAGTTGATTCTTAGATAAGCACTGTGTATAAAGCATATTTGCTTGAAGCCACTTCGCGTGCTACTTTTTTACTGGCCAGCATCAGTGCTGGGGTTGCACAGAAAAGGAATCCATTACAAATGAGTAATTATTTCTTTCAAACTATAATGGGATTGCTTTACTTACTAGTTCCTGGAAAAAAAGTAGTCTTAATTAATTATTACTTCTACTTTACTCCATAACCCCCCCCCAAAAAAACCTGTACTAACTGTCACAGTTAAACATCATTTAAAGGGCCTGTCAGTATCACTGCTTTTAAACACCTGATGCTGTTTGAACTATCCTGTGGAAACAGTTTATAAACAGCTACCTCTAAATGAAATTGGCTGTTCCTGAATGAAGATCAGCCTGTTTAGGTGAGAGGGTCTTGAGGGTCTTGAGGGTCTTGAATTTAGAGCCTTTCCCACACTCAGGCTGTTTACATTCACAATCAAAGTCACCATAAAAGTACAGGCATGGATAATCTATAATCTACATAGAGGAAATTTCCGACTTAAATGCTTCACATGTAACACTGTGAAACGTTTGTTCAAACAATCAACAATTATATCAAACAATAAGTTGACCGAACAAAAGACACCGATTCTTGTTTTGTGAAAATACTCTGAAAAGTTAAATCAACAAAATTTTTTAAGGTAGCCCAGTAACTACCTGCAGTTAAAGCAGTGATTTTTTTTACAGTGAATTAGTATTGCTCTGTTAAAGACATATGAGTAACACTTCTTATTATGTTTGAATAATTTAATGCATTACACTACTTCATTACAGGAAAACGTGATCACATTACTTATTAAAACTTACTAAAACTACATGGGGCGTTAAGAGTTTAGCCCATGCTCGGATATAGAGCAGTTCTTGAGCGTCTTTTAAAAAAAAAACATGGTCATATGGAATCTAAAACATGGGCACCCCATCCAGTCAGGGTTACCAGATTGGTCAAGATCCCCAGAATAGCATTTTATGCTACTTGCTATGACCATAATTGTTTATCGGTGATGTTTTTCATTGCCTTGTAGTGTTTCATTACCTTCTAATAATAATAAGAATAATAAATAGACACACACACACACTCATCATCTATGCCGCTTATCTTTCTGGGTCGCGGGGGTGCTGGAGCCTATCCCAGCGGTCATTGGGCGGAAGGCAGGAAACACCCTGGACAGGTCGCCAGTCCATCGCAGGGCAGATAATAAATACTGATAAGATTAAAAAATGTTTTTCATTTAATCATTAAAGTGCAACTTTCCTCATTGAATTCCTCATTCTCATCGAATATTCGAATATTCAAGATAATATCTATTCAAGATAAAATCTTCAAAAATAAGAATATTTGATATTTGCAGCCCTGTTGTTGTACCACATTACTTTGTATTGTGTTACCCCAACACTGGACCAGCACATGGCCAGTAAAAAAGTCTGAGTGAACTTTTGAGAGTCAGCATTGATTCATTTAATCCATTGTCTAGTTAAAATACTGTTATTTAACAATATATCTAAAAAATATATACAGATCCTGAACGAGGAGTCTCCAAGTACAGTGACTAAAACTGCATGCAGTCTGTTACTTTCCATCACTGGGCACACATGCACACACTACACACCAACAGGTCCTACAAGAGGCGCTTTCGAGTGCGTATTTCAGCACGGACTCCAGCTCCTTCTCCACTGCTGTAGAATCTGAGGCTGTAACTGATCCAAACTCGTAGCCCCCCCTCACCTCGTTCCCTCTCTATTGGAAAGCGAAAACCAAATGTAAACAACCAATGATTGTACTGAACGAGTGCAGCTTGTTACTTTGCTTTAAGCTCGAGCTGAGGAATCCAAAGGAGAGCGGCCGCTGGAGTCTGACTCTCTGACAGGAGCATCAGTCGGAACCTGTCAGCGGAGTGATGTTGGACAAACTGCCTTTGATCTGAATGACCACGTCTCTTCCCCTTAGAAACAACAGTGTTGTCTTCGACCCAAACGGATTAACAAAGTGTTCATGAAAATGAATGTGTGCGAATGTGTGCGTGAGAGAGAGAGAGAGAGAGAGAGAGAGAGAGAGAGAGAGAGGGGTTGATGTTTGCGAAGTGCTCATCAGTGTCTCTTTACTATGTTAAATCTATTTTTATTATTATTATTATTATTATTACTGGATTGTCTCGTTGCTGAGCTGCTGAACTTTTCAAAGGACTGAGTGTGGAAAGATACAGCAGCACCTGTTCACGTCTGTCTCAATGAATAGAACATGTCCTGTATATTAGCCTGTGAACTCTTTTGGTAATAGAGCTCTCATCCGTTGCATGGTCATGCAAACAATAATATTGTGTATTTACTAGACGATGAGGAAAAAGTTACAGTGTCCATGTGCAATATGCTGTGTATGAGTGTCTCATTTGCTTTTTTTTTTCTTTTTTCTCTGTGAATCCCTTTGCTGAAAAGCCATTATCCACATTTTTATGGCTTTTTGAGTTGCTATGTTTTGTGAACACACTCCAGGTCCTTTATTTCAGTGGTGTTTCAGCCCTGTCACTTCTTGATAAACGCCCAGCTGGGTTGTTTTTGAACATACTACATGTTTTTACCTTCTCGAAATGCTTAACTTACCCTACTGGAAGCTTGTGACTCATTCACAAATGCAAGAGTGACAGAGCTTTGTTTGGTTTGAGCCCATATGAGACTTTAAAGTTTTTTTTTAAAGATAAAGTTAAAGATGTTTGAGGTTTAAAAAGGTATTTTATAAAGTTTTTATGTATTAAAGAGGAATTCCACTGCATAATTCAACTATTAAGGTGTAAGCAAATTAAGTGTTTTGAGTGGTTTGAGGTGTAATGCTCCATTCTAGAGCAGTCAGAATTGTTCACAGCAGTGGTGATAGGAACCAGACATCTCAAGCTATCACATGAAGTGGTTACAAATGGTTACCTGATACTTGAGGCATTGTTTTATGATAGTTTTAAAAATAAGCTTTTGGCTTAAAACGTTTCTTTAGCGCACGTTCACGGCCTAAGCGGTCATGCAAGGCATTGTTAAGCAAAAGAGAATCCATAGAAAACACATTTTTTTAGGTTTACCACTATTTTACCATCATCACTATTACATATACTGATTCAGAAGACGTGTAGGTAAACTGGTCATTTTGGATAGTAAATAAAATGGCTGTATTTGTGTTGTAGATTCTGGTTCCTGTCACCGCCACTGTAACGAAATCTGAGTTGATAAATTTCTCTACAATGAACCATTTCGTATTAAACCACTCTGTTTGACTTTGTTTACATCTCAGTGTTTAAATTATTCAGAAATTTTGGAAAATTGGTGGAATTCCCTTTTAACAGGCCAAAATTCACAACAGATCACACCTAATTAGGCCACTGAGGCAGAGACTTCAGAAATGTGAGCAGGACATTAAGTAACGTGTTACTTTACACTGTAAGCAGTTTGTTATTTGATACACTTGCACCTACATGCACTGGCCATTCAGGTACACTCACCTTAAAAAGACAGGTGCCAAAAAAAGACTCCTTGCATAATGCAGTGGAAGAACCACTTGTGGCTTTTCAGTGGATGTTTTTTTTGTAGAACCATTCTTGTAAAAGGGATGTGTGAGTGTGAAGAACCATATTGAAGTTTAATGATGTAAGGGGTTCTAGTCTGAATACATAGAACCTTCACATTTTGTATGTAAAGGTTCTATGTGTTCAGGTCCTACAAGAGGCGCTTTTGAGTGCATACTTCAGCACGGACTCCAGCTCCTTCTGCACTGCTGTAGAATCTAAGGCTGTAACTGATCCAAACTCCCTGAAATCAAACTAACAAATCGTCACTGTCCAAAGAAAACCATGTATCTCCATTTTTGTCGATTTTTATTTTTCTACATCATTTCAACACACCAACTGTCCTATACGGTGTGATGATTGGACAAAAACAAATGCTCCAAAATCACTTGGAATAAGACCTCTTTACATTAACTTACATTTAAAGGTGAGAGCATTTTTGCCCTCTCCTGTAAAGTTACTATTTTGGAGATACTTGTTTTTCTTTTTACAGCGACAAAATCTTTTTTCGACAAACGATTCTTTAGGGAACCAAAAGTGGTTCTTCTATGGCATCGTTCAAAGAATCCTTTTTTGAGAGTGTACCAAAAAAGGTTCTTTGTATGATGTCATAGAAGAACCAATTGTGGTTTTCTATGGAACATTTCAGTCGATGGTTCTTTGGAGAACCATCTTTGGAGATCAGATGTGTAAGTGTACCACCATGTAATGTAGAAAAGATTCCAGTCTGAACCCTTAAATGGTTCAACCTTCAACTTGTCTTCTTTAAAATGTTCTTCATGCTCTGATCTCTTTTTCAGACATGGTTCTTTAGGGAGACGTAAGTGGTTCTTTTAGGAAATCACTCAAGAACTGTTTGTGGCACCTTTTTTAAGAAGTTGGCAGGTTTCCATTTACTGACTGCTCATCTGTTGCCGCACCATTTGCCAGCCACCCTCCACACTGTACGTCAGTGGACAGGGACCACCATAGGACCACCACTGAGCAGATACAGTTTGACTGGTGGATCGTTTTCAGCAGTGACACTGGCATGGCAGTGGTGTGCTGGTACGAGCAGCATTGCTGAAGCTCTTATCCCAAGATCAAATCACTAAGACCAAAAAGCCACAACAAGACCTCACTGTTATGGTCATGACTTAATCTACCACGGCTACCCAGACTGGCTTTGCCATCCACTCACTTCTGTTTTTTTTACTTGGGTTCTTTTCATATTTTTTTCCTCTGTGGTTTATCAGTTTGTGTCTTTGCCTTGTTTTTCCACTGCTTGGACTGCACTCTTGTCAAAAATCAGTGGGCCTCGCCCTGTTGTCCTCTTGACACAAGCAGAATGGACTCCAGCTCACTTCTTCCTCACCAGAACTTCTGCCCAGCTCTTAGGATTTTAAATCAAAAAATGACTCTACATAGGAAAAACCCATTCGGGCTGTTGTAAACATGCATCTGTTCAAGCAAAAATAAACATATACTTGTCTGAAGACGTACCTTTTAGAAAAATGCTATTCTATCTGAGTCTGGCTGAGTATTATGTATGTACATACTGAGGTACAGTGCAAATTAATGTAAGTTATGTGTATTATATCACTGTAAGTATCATATACACGTGTAAGTATTTTCTTTCGTGTTTTTTGTGTCGTGAAGCTTCGTTTGTACATTGTGCGTCTTTTGTTTGTATGTTTGTTTGTTTGTTTCTGCCCATTCCTCACCATCATGTCATTGTATGCGTTTTACTGTGTGCCAAATGTACTGTACTCAAAAGGATGTGAATGTGGATTGTTTGTTTTGGAGCCTATTAAAAAAGATGGTGTCAAAAGGTCATTCCAGTTGTAAAGACTAATAAGTGGGATCTTAACGTGATCGCAGACAAACACAGAGTTGCATGCAAGTTTAGGCGCCACTGGTCAAATGATGTTTTGTTGTTTTTCTAAGTGAAGCGCATCCTCTATAAGAGCACATTTTAATGCACAATTAGTGTTTATTTGCTGAATTTAACATATTGGTGGGGAATTACTTTTGCCACATTTTATAATGCATGCTTTATTTTTCCCTATATGTTAAACTTGCCAAATAAATAGAAATTGTTCGCTAAAATTATTTTTTTTCACTTAGAAAATCAACGAAAAAAGCAGTTTGACCAGAGGTGTTCAAACTTTTGCATATGACTGCACACAATTGTGAACAGATGCTATTTAGTAATAAAGAGTTGGGTATTTTTTTTAGTCCCTTTCAAGCCTTGAAAAATATCTCAGAATCAAAATTTCTTGCATCTGCAACAAATATACTCTACTGTATGTGGTAACGTAAGCCATTCATCGTGGGCTTGTTTTCAACTGTCAGGAGGTCTTGAATAACTGATAAAAAATGATGCAATACGGACACAGAAGAAGAGGAATTCTTGCAGCGCTCCTTCGGCTTCGTGGGTCGCCGTGACCGAAAGCCAGCAGTGTGAAGAATTGTGCTTGTCAAGTGTAACCCTTTCAACAGAGGTCTCAAACGTCCCGAGGCGTCAGAAATGTCACACCATCCTCATTTGGTCACCCTTTAACACCCTTGAGTTGAATAATCAGAATTACTTTGTGAAATGTCAGCGCAGACTCTACTCGAAAGCAGAATCAGGGCTAATGAGAGCTGAGGTTTCATATCTCATTGTGAATCAGATAATCTGACCAAAGCTGGTTCATGGTGAGCAGAAGGCTGACCTGAGTGTGAACAAAAACTCACATGACGAGCTGCTCTATTGTCCTGCGTCCTGACTTTTCACTGCAGGGTTTCAGCACTGAAATGTGGCATGAATGTGAAATATGTGAGATAATTGTTTGTATCAGAGCTGCCTGACCTGTGCAGGGAGGTTCTTCTTTAGGTCTGAGATCAGTATCAGTGCATTGCGAGCTCAGACGTCACCTGTGTCTATTGTAGCAGTGCTGTTTGTCATTTTGTTGTGGCCGAAGGCGCATCTCACTCCCAGTGTGAGCACAACAGCACAGCGCCCTCGCTGCAGGGTTCTGGACTGACCACTGAAAAGGGCGTCCAGTTCTTGTCCTGGACAGCAGGAGGCCATCAGTTTGGTGATTACTCCTCAAAACAGAGGTTCCTAAATGGCTCTTGGATGAACATGAGGTTCTGCTCTCCTAAAAATGAAGGTTCCTTAATGGGCCTTGGTTGAACATACAGTTCTACACTCTTAAAAATAAAGGTTCCTTAATGACTCTTGGCTGAACATATAGTACTACACTCAGAGGTTCTCAAGTGGTTCTTGCTTGAACATACCATTCTACACTCTTAACAATTAAGGAACCTTAATGGTTCTTGATTAAACATACACGTCTACACTCTTAAAAATGAAGATTCCTGAAAGAGTCTTGGCTGAAAATACAGTTCTACACTCAGTGGTTCTGCAGTGGTTCTTGGTTGAACATACAGTTCTATACTATTAAAAATAAAGGTTCTTTAATTGGTCCTGGTTGAACATACAGTACTACACCCAAAGGTTCTCAAGAGGTTCTTGGTTGAACATACAGTACTACACTCAAAGGTTCTCAACATAAAGTTCTAGGCTTCTAAAAATAAAGGTCCCTAAGAGGTTCTTGGCTGAACATACAGTTCTACACTCTTAAAAATAGAGGTTCTTTAGTTGGCCTTGGTTGAACATACAGTTCTACACTTCTAAAACAAAGGTTCCCACATGATTCTAGACGTGGATGTATTGTCGTAGGAAAAACCTTTACTTGGTATATAACATTGACATCATGTAGGTTCCTCACATTCACATATGGTTCTTTAAATGGTTCTTAAACCAGTGAAAGGTTCTTTAGGGAGCCAAAAGTGGCTCTTCTATGACATCATTCCAAAGAACCAATTTTTCAAGTGTGAGTGGACAAAAACTTGACTGATTGATACAGAACTTTTACATCAAGCGAAGGTTCTCTACACTGTTAAAAAGGTTCTCTACACCAGCACAGCTCATTTACAGATATGACTTATTGATTAAAAGTTTCTCTGTGGAGCCAAAAGTGGTTCTTCAAAGAATCCTCGGCACAGCGTGGTAAACCTGGTGCATAACTGCTGAGTTGAATCAGATTCGTTTGAGAAGAGAAATCACCAAACTGTGCTGGACTGGGACCCTCAGGACTAGAACTGGGCCCCCATGACCAGTGGTCACCTTGTCAAAGCGCTTGTAGGTTTGTCTTTGGTCATAAGACAGATACAGGATCCTGGGGTGTATCTGTCTGGTGTGGTGAGAGGGGGGAGGCGAGGGGGGGGCGGTGTAGGGGTGCGAACCTTCCCTCCACTGTCGGTGGGCTTCAGTCGCGCTCAAGGTTACGCGACCAGAGCGAGAAAGCTGAGAGCTGGGGTGGGCGGGGCAGTGGGCGGGGTCTATGGATCCCCTCCAATCATGATAGTCCTGATTGATCGCGCTGTTGGCCCTCGGCCAGCTGAGCGCGGCGCTCGAGACCGTGTGCGTGCGCGTGTGTGTCCCTGTGAGTGTGTGCGTGTGTGTGAGGTACAAAGTTCTTCCAGACTTTCAGCGCGAGCGGGGAAAGTGCGAGCGCGCTGCCTTCTGGACTGCGCGCGCCTGCGAGCTCGCTGGATGTTTGTGTGAGCGGCTGTACGATCCTCGGCAGTGTTTCTGAGACTGTATAGCCGGAGGTTTTTCTGATTTTCGCCTCGCAGTCGGACTTTATTCTTCTCCGAGCGCAGAAATCGAGGCTTCAGATCTTGTTTGCTGAGTCGAAGCGGCGCCTTTAAACCTGTTGATCTCGCTTCGCTCCCACCGAGGAACTCCAGCCACGACCGAGCGGAGCTGCGCAGAGATGACGGCGGAGAAAGACAAGAAAAGGTGGGCTGCTTTGGGGGCTTTAACCGCTCTGGCCTGCTTGCGGATCATGTTTAGAGCAGCGCGTTTAGCAGCTGGAGAGCTTTTAGCAACTTTTGAGTGATTCGGCTGCTGCGACACCTGCGATCTTATTCTGCTCTTTAATATCCCAGCTGCTCTGCTGGAACTGACCTGTCTGTCATAATGAAGGCCTACAAACAAACTATCACCACTTCATGGTCACATTAAATGATTCATCACATTTTCTGTTGGGATATATATTACAGATATGATTAATTAATCAGGAAAGGTATAATATGGTATTTCTACACAATGTATATGAACAATACACATTTCCTAATGTATATTTTAACAGATATTTAATATCTTATTTTATTTTTTTTCATGTATTTATCACATTTTTAACTAAGCTGCTGAGGGCCCTGGTTGATCAGGGGCCAGAGTCCAAATCAGGTTTTGTAAGCCCTCTCAGGTTACTGTAAAAGCTTCACTGCTTATACAGCCTACTAAACCCCCAAAAATATGATTTTAGTCTTCCTTCATTGGCTTTAATAACCTGTTCTGAGATGCTCTGATAGTGTCCTTCTCAGGTGACCCAAGTGGAAGTTACCAATCATGTCTGTTCTGACTTTAATCGAGGCATTTGTGAACATTTTCTTCACTGTATATGTGTAATGACTTCATCTTTGAATGGAATTCTATTTTACATTTGTTTTTAATTCTGTTTTAAAGTCTGTTTTCTGCTTTTTTTGAAAGTGGGTCTCCACACACTGAGTAATGAAACAGAAAACTGAAAGTGGTGTCATCAGACTTTCTGTTGTTTTTGAGAGTTACTGTAGTGCTGGGCTGTGAGAACATTGCAGTGCTCCAGTGTCAGATGGTTGTAGTTGGGAGTGCTGCTGTTGGGAGGCCTGTGGGAATGCTGGAGAGCCGGAGAGAGTTTATTTCGAAGACTTAAGTAGATCATGTTTGGCCTGCGGAGGGGGAATGTGCCCCTGGGGTAACATCTGGCTTTTGCAGCAATACTCATGTGTTTAGAAGTATTTATAGGTATTCTGAATTGGCTCAGCTTTGGTAATAATAATATAATAATAATAATAAAATGTTAAATGACTGTCTTGAATAAATGCATAACTATAACTATATGATATAACTAATATATATGTATATATATGTAAATATATATGTATATATATATATATATATATATATACATATATATATATATATATATGATGTAAATAATTGAATTATGTAGTCTATATATATATATATATTATATATATATAATTATTATTACACTGAAAAGGAAGCATTGACTACTTGATTGAAGTGTTTACATCATTTCCACATGAATAACATGCAAATGCAAATTGACAGATACTAAAAATAAAAAGAATAATTTGAATCAATGCAGTGAATCAAATCAATGCATTGGTATTTATTTTAGTGTATTATTATTATTATTATTATTATTATTATTATTAAAAGGAATGCATTGAATTTACTTGATGTCTACATCATTTCCACTTTAATAAACTGTCAGTAAACTGACAATGTGGAAATGAATCTTTTGAATCAATTCAGTGAATCAAGTATTCATCAATGTATTCACATTTTCAGTGTCTTCTTCTTCTTCTATTTATTATTATTATTATTATTATTATTATTATTATTATTATTGTTGTTGTTGTTGTTGTTGGTGGTGATGGTGGATCAATACTGTTATGATTTGTGATTGATGTTGTTTTTGCTGTTATTTGGAAATTGATAAGTTATAAATTATAACTACAATCATTCCTTTAAAATGAGTATGAAGAGTACAGGCAGGTAGTAGGCTATTACTCTTTATTAGCTCATTAATCAATCTTTCCTCTTACTGAGAGTTTTTGAACAGACAGACAGCACATTTCACACTATAGCTCACTGCTACAGGTTTGCCTGAAAATTCATGTGGTCAACCCATTTATAACATAAAATGAATCAATTTGATTTACTTAATCAAAATTAAAGATGCAATTTCAGCTCATATTTCACCGCTGACTCTACTAATGGCTTTCGATTTTACACCCCTGACATGTAAGATTGATTGAACATGTGTTCAGTGTATGTAGGTAATCGCGTTTTGCCCCGGGCCTGTCGAGGGTGGAAGCACTGCAAATCTTGATGATAACAAATTAGTTTGTGAAAGCTATACTTACCAGGTCGTGTTTAAACCTGTCTCCAGCTCTTAAAGGAATGATTGAAAGTTTTAGACTCATCAGTCTTGTGTTGTTTCCTTGCATATGTTTGCATATGTGCGCGTGCGTGTGTGTGGTTTAGACAGAGCGCCTAAAAGTCTGCTTCGGCCTCTTCTTCCCTACCAGCTCTGTGTGTATTATCTGACCAATCAGAGGGAAGCTCAACACAAACAAACATCGGCATAACAGTCAAATGAGGAGCATGTATCTTTAGTATCAGGATATTGCAATTCAGGGGGGAATGCAGACACACTGTTGGACGTTTCCTCGGGGGACGGAGGCCGCGCTGGGCCTGGTGCAAGCTTACACAACTCACACGACAGCCATCTTGGAACTCCAGAGGGGCCGTCTGGTTTTGAGCGTGAGCTCAGGCCTGTGTGAGAGTGTGCAGGGTGTCCTGTAAAGTTTGCCTGCATTTGAATGCGATTATGAGATTCTATCTCTCAGCTATTGTTTACTGTCAATAGAAGATGGCTGCGCCTATACCGAGCTCACTTTGCCATGCATGCTCTCACCAATGGCCATATTTCTTAATCATCGTGTCCGTCAGTACTCTGCTGGAGGCTGCACAGTCATTGAGCCTCCGGAACACGTCAGGCTTTCTATGAATTACAAGAGAAAAGTGTGGAAGGCCGTGCTCTTAGCCTTTATGCATTTCCATGTATTTCTTTTTACACTATAGGCTGTGAGACTGTGTTCTAGTCTGTAGGTAACCCCTAAGGGTGACCCAGGTCAAATGACATGTTTTGTTGAAACAGTGCACATATGTACACGTCCTCTACAGAGAGCACACGTCTACGCATTTTTAATGCATTGTTTATTTGCTGAATACAACATATTGGGGGAAAAGACATAAAATGTAGCCTGTGCAACAAAAGAAATTGTGGACTAAAATTTGCATTAAAATGCCTTATTTAAAGGTGAATTCTGCTGATGTTTTTTAAATGTCTGCATAATTCAGTGGTTGAGATGCAAGCAAAGTCGTGCAGAGTGGTTTGGAGAAACTTGCTGACTCTGATTTCATTACTGTGATTGTGACTGTCTGTGTCTTCTGAGTTTTATATGTAATGTTAAAAATATTGCTAAGTGATACATCTGAAATAGCGATACATCTGAAAAAAAGTTTTCTTTGGGAACTGTTTTACCCTGTAACACCCTGCTTGTACCTCTCTGACTTCAAGGTATTTTTAACCAATATACAGTTTAAGCCAAAACTGTATTTAAATGATCACAGAACAATATATCAGGCCTCAGAGCTTTCTGTGATGTTGCTTTTAGAGGCAATAAACTCTCCTGATATCTGGTTCCTCTCACCACCACTGTGACTAATTCTGACTTAATACGTTTCTCAAGTGCGGCACATTACAGAACAAGCCACTCTGAGTGACTTTGTTTACATATTAACAATTTAATTATGCAGAAATTTAGACATACACTGTCATTAAAAAGGTACTGTCCTGGAAATATGAACTATCTAAAGCAAACAGTGATCCTATATGTGTCTTCTGAGTTTTATCTGTAGTGTTCGTGATGGTAAACCAGTGGAAAATCTGAAAACTCAGTTTTCTTTTTGACTGTTTTGCCTTGTAACACCCTGTATGTAGCTTTTAGGTGAATCTTATCTCAAAACTATTGTAAAACAGCATCACAGGCATCAGGCAGTGCATTTGTAAAGTTTTCGTGTAGTAAGCTCCTGTGAGGTAGCTTTAAACTTTTCAGACGTCTGGTTCCCATCAGCACTATAGTGAGCACTTTTGACTCAGTAGGTTTTTCTACAATGGAGCATTTTAGTCATAACCACTGAATGACTGTTCGCATCTGAACCATTTAATTGTGCAGAAATTATTTTCACTTAGAAAATCAACAAAACGTCATTTGATTGGGAGGATGCCCAAATATTCTCATACAACTGTATTTCAATTCATCATTTTTATACACTCTTAAAAATGGAGGCGCCTAAAATAGTTCTTGGCTTAGACATGGTTCTAGGAAAAGCCTTTGATGGGTAGACAGCTTTTACATGATGTGGAGGTTCTTTAACCTTCAACAAGGTTCTTCACACTCGCACATTTCATTTATAAAAACGATTCTTTAACCATTGAAAGCAGAGTTAGACAGATAAAAAAATTTGCACTGTTTGCTCGAGTCACTAAGGCCAGAATTAAGAGTCTGTAGCCAGAATAATAGAAACATGTTTATTGTATATACAGTGTATTTAAAAATAACAAGCATGCTTCAGGACCAAAAAACAATCAGCGCTAGCTTTGAAGAAGAAATTATTTATTAAAAACTTGCTGATTTGGTGACCATGGTGGTCCTCACTGCCAAGCTTGTCTGCTCTGACATCATCTGATCCAAGTTATTTCATTAGATACTTTCTAGCTACTGCAGTGAGGGTGTCTCTGTATAACACAGGCTTAGTTAACACCTTATTTTACATACAGTCTAAGTTTATTAGAGTGATTAGCTAACTTTCGGCAATGGAGCAGCTCAGTTCTGTGTCTGACCAAAAAGGTTTGTTAAAAGGGATGCAAAGAAGTGGCCACTTGGGCCACTGGCTCTGCATTTTTAGATTTTCTGATACTTTTTTTGCACCACTGGAAGCATGCGGTATAAGAGTATCTTTATCTTTATTTTTAAAAGCATCTTTACACTTGTGTAGCGTAGCTGTTGTAAGAAAACCTCTTAGCTCTGAAGATGACTTTTCATGCAAAAGGAAAAGGGAAAAATGTTTTAACATTTAGTTTATGATCCTGGACCATT